GACGATCTACTAGGGGAGAAGTGCACGACGACGAACGCAGGACATCGACGCACGGCAGCGTGTCCGCGCTGGACGGGCCGCGAGGACCCCGCGGGGCATCGCCCACCGACGCGAAGCCAGCGCCGCTGACGATGAATCGCCCCGTTCGATCTTTTGGGTTTCTTAGGTAACCCCTGAACGGTTACACGTACTCTTGAACTCTCTCTTCAAAAATAATAATAAGATATGACAAAGCATAAAAGCCAACGCTAGTTATTATTGCGAATGTTATTCTCACTTATTACATCAAATTGTATACGTTTCGACCCTCATCAGGTCATCTTCAGTAACATTTCAAATTAATAAACATTTGTATAATCACCTCCTTAATTTTTTAAAAATATCTTAACCGTTAACAAATTCATAAATTCACGCCGCAAACTTAAAATAATAAAACCATTTTCAGGAACTCCTTAGATAATCGAAAACTCCATACCATCTTCCTGTATTTCCACTCATCCACATTTATCCATTATACAAATTTATTTAATTCTTCGTCCAATACTATTGCCAATATTTCCATAACTCTCTTTATGTTCAAATTTATGAAATCAAAACTCTCTTTTGAGTAATAGTTATAGTCAAATATAGCATGGAAGTCACAAATTCTATAAAATCATAGTAAAAATTTTTTTATAACTTTTTGTCAATAATATCATGTAGTCATCAATTTTAAACCGTATCATATAAGAAAAACAATAGTTTTTTAGTCAAAAATAATTCAATATGTATTTAGCGTCAACAATAAATTAGTCTTTTTATAAAAATTAAATAAAGGTCAATGATTTTTCAAAAAGTCAACTAAATAAAATTGAATACAAATTTAAATAATTATTAAATAAATTAGAAATTAATTCGTACTTCACAAAATTATAATAAATATCTACATACCCATACATTTCGACCACAACTATCCACAAATGTTCTTTATACAATATTATCAAAAGTAAGAAACTAAACATCGCAAACCACAATGTTCACCGCACAACTGTTAGCTTACATATGATACATTTCTAGCAAACAAAGACGAATCACCTCGTTTCTTATTCTATATTTAAAGAGGGGATATATCCTCTAACATTGGCAGGTATACATTCGGAAATTTATTTGTATCACTCTGCTTATTTAAACCATGAGTCTGCTTCTTAATATATATCATCTCTGATAAAAATCTTTTATAATAGAATAGCTCCTTATCTAATACTTCTACGTTTTCCCATTTAAAATCATGATCTTTTTATAATCTATGATCAGATATTACCGACAAATTCCCCGATCTTTTTTTAATGTCACTCTGATGTTCTTTAATACGTGTCTTTAATTTTCTCTTCGTTTGACCCACATACGTACATTCACAATCACGACAATTTATTTTATATACGAGTACAACATTATTACTAGATGCAAGTTCCATTTTATCTTTACCTGTTCTAATAAACTTTCCTAGTGAATTTATCGGTTTAAATTTCTTTTTATCTCTTGTTTCTAAATTTATCAGAAATTTCACTATGATATGGTACAATAAAATATTTATTCTGAGTTAAGTCCTTATTCGTCCTATTATTCTTCTGAGTTGCTTTTTTATATACATGATTTTTTATTCTTTTATTGATAGTACTAAATATAAACTGCAAAGGATATCTAGTAATATCTCAATAACTTCATTTAAATTTTTTTCTTGAAACTGTGGATTAGAAAGAAATAAAACTCTGTCAAGCAGACTCATGATAACTCCCATCTTATCTACTGGATGATCAGAAAAATAATTAAGATATCTTCTCGAATCGGTTGGTTTTCTATAAATATCAAACACAATTTTCCTTTCAGCCAACAACAATCTAACATCTAGAAAATTGATACGTTCTCCCCACCTATCTCCATAGTAAATTGTAATCTGACATGAATCGAATTAAATAAATCTAATATCTCATTTATCACACATATTTTCTGGTGCTGCAAACAAAATATCGTCCACATATCTAAAATAAAAAGGGAGATAAGTCGAGATACGTTTCATAACAATTATTTCCAAATCACACATCACTAAATCTGCCAATATCGGAGACAATGGTGAGCCCGTCGGTGTGCTGAAAATTTGTTTATAAATAGTTCCTCCAAACATGAAAAACGTAGAATTCAGAATTAAAGAAACTGCCGATAAAAATTCTTCTTTTGGTATCTCTGTATTCCCTGCGATACTATCCCATCTACTACTTATACTTTGAATTGCCAAATCTACTGGTACGTTTGTAAAAAGTGAAACCACATCAAAAGATACAAGTTTGTAACTTGGATCTAACTGCATATTATTAAGACATTCAACTAATTGAAAGCTATTTTCAATAAAACTAAAGTGTTTTGGGCAACTCTTTTTTAAAATATTATGTAAAAAATTAGCTAAAGGATAGAGAGGACTATTAATAGAAGAAACAATCATTCTCAACGGAATATCTTGCTTATGAATCTTCGGCAAACCGTAAGACTGAGGTAAATTACCATCCGAAACATACAATCTGTTATAAGTATGCTGTTCAATATAACCTTTCTTTTTCCATCTCGTTAGCATCAAACGCAACTCCACAGTCAATTTGTTAATAGGATCCTTATTAACTACTTCATAAGTCTCACAATCCGATAATATATCCTTCATTTTACTTTCATATTCCATTCTATCCAACGCTACAGTAATATTACCTTTATCAGCCCGAGTAAATAAAATTTGTGGATGTTTTTTCACAAATACTTTAGTTAATTGAACCCACTTTTTTATATTGTCCCTACTGTCTGATTCTGAATTTTTTATTTTGCTTAAAATCGCCAAAACATCATTTCTGATTGAATTACGCATATTACTGTCAAACTTTATCATATTATTCTCAACATATTTAATGTATTCAATTAATGTAAATTCTTTATTAGCTACACTAATTGGAAGGTTGAATCTTTGATCTAATTGTAGTAATAAAATTACCTCTTCAGGAATATCAATACCACTAAGATTTACAAACCATTTTTCATGTACCTGATTAAGTGACATTACTGCGAAAATTATCTGGACCCACGAAAATCTTAGTAGTTATCTCTTTTGCTAAAGTCAAAATCGGCTTTTCAGAAATTTCTTTAATTACCTTAGGTTCAAACTCTTCCGACTGATTATTAAAAGACGAATCTGAGGTTTTTATAAAATAATGAATCGGTTTTATCCTATTTTTAATGTATATCTCTTTTTTATTGAAAAGCCAATTAATTTTTTTATCTATTCTATCTTTTTTTTTTAGCCAAAAACAATTCAAGTTGACTTCTTGACTGCGGAAAAACGATGACTCCAACGAGATAGGTAAATTATTCGAGACTGTTCTGCATATTTTATAGACATTCCTCATAGTAACGTCCAATTGTTTGTAGGCATCACGCAATTCCAATTTTAATATTTTTTTATGAAAATTGTGTTTGATTTTCTCTAACTTATGTTTCGACGAATCCTGATATAGATCATAGTTATTTTTTGTATAATGATATAAATGTTGTGGAATTAAATTACTCCTAATACATTTCCTTAAAAAATAAATTCTCAATCTTATTTTAACATTACCCCTCATAATTCTTATGCAATCTTTAAGCAATTTACATGTATTAAATCCAAATTGTCTTCTTATAAAATCAAAGAACGAAGGAAAATACTGCCGCATGTTTATGCTTGCGTACAAAATAAATATCAATACAATCAAGTAATGGCTTAAATTGGAAAAATAATAATAAGATATGACAAAGCATAAAAGCCAACGCTAGTTATTATTGCGAATGTTATTCTCACTTATTACATCAAATTGTATACGTTTCGACCCTCATCAGGTCATCTTCAGTAACATTTCAAATTAATAAACATTTGTATGATCATCTCCTTAATTTTTTAAAAATATCTTAACCGTTAACAAATTCGTAAATTCACGCCGCAAACTTAAAATAATAAAACCATTTTCAGGAACTCCTTAGATAATCGAAAACTCCATACCATCTTCCTGTATTTCCACTCATCCACATTTATCCATTATACAAATTTATTCAATTCTTCGTCCAATACTATTGCCAATATTTCCATAACTCTCCTTATGTTCAAATTTATGAAAATTTCTTCAAAATTCTTTTCAACTTTCCCTCACGATACTTGTTCGCTATCGGTCTCGTGGTCGTATTTAGCCTTACATGGAGTTTACCATCCACTTAGAGCTGCACTCTCAAGCAACCCGACTCTAAGGAGGAATCCTCCCGAGACGCGCACCGGTCGCTACGGGCCTGGCACCCTCTGCGGGTAAGTGGCCCCATTCAAGATGGACTTGGACGCGACGTGACATCTCGGGATAAACGGATCCTCTCAAACACCACATTTCCCTACGACAGAACCGCGGGATTCGGTGCTGTGCTCTTTCCTGTGCGCTCGCCGATATTAAGGAAATCTTAGTTTCTTTTCTTCCGCTTAATAATATGCTTAAATTCAGCGGGTGATCTCGCCTGCTCTGAGGTCGTCAACGGAAACGAGACGAGCCTCCATCGTGTGCGCGAGACGCAGAGGAGTCGTCGATCGTCCCACAGCGAGATTGTTGTGCGAAGACCGGGATGATGATGTTGTGATTCGCATTCGGCGGCGAGTACACGACGACGCGTGCCGGTCCTCCTCCCGTCTCTCGCGAGACGAGTTTCTCATGGACTCGGGAGACACGCGGTCGGCTCGCGCGCACGATCCATTCTGGATCTCCTTGTGCGTCCTGCAACGCGCAGCTTCGCGAAACACTCTCGTGTGTCTCCGGGCGGCAGCGACATCTCTCACCAACCTCGCGGTTTATTTCGGACGACGTTCAGGGAAGACGGACGCTCCGCGGTGGGCGGAGCGTCGTCTTGCGCGACCAGGCGAGCGTCCAACGTTCGCTCGTACGCAAAAGCGTAAACAGTCTTTAGGTATCAAAATGACCCTCAGCCAGGCGTGGTCCGGGAATTATATCCGTGGACCGCAATGTGCGTTCGAAATGTCGATGTTTATGTGTCTTACAGTTCACAAGTTAACACGCAATTAGCTGCGTTCTTCATCGACCCACGAGCCAAGTGATCCACCGTTCAGGATAATCGTTCAATTTTGTTGAGAAAGAGTGTCGTCTCGTTACTCTTTGCAACGTGTCTACATACGAGGTGTGATCAAAAAGTAAGGTGCCTTTTTGAATTTCGCGCGCTCTGTACACTCTAATTTCAAAATACTTTTTTTGTTGTGTTGGTACACTCGTCACGATCATATGTTCACAGTTTTGACTATATAGCATGTGTTGTTTTTGTGT